TTCAAAGTAATGATGAAAAAAGGGTTTTGGATGGAGCTGCACTGTGTTTGGGTGTGTGAGTTGATGTGTGTTGTGTGGTTTGCTCAGGGGCCAGAGAGAGGAACTGACATCCCACTCTAGAACATTCTTAAAATCCATGTTTAAAAGTAAATGTTAATAAACCAGCAAAAAGGTGTGGATTATTAAAGGATGTGAAATCTTTTATCTGATGCTAATATGCTAATGTGTTAAATGCTAACATGCTCAATTTTAATGGTGCAACCAGGGCTCTGAGCTACATGCTAGAAACTGACAGGAAATGACATAATGAAACATGTGGACATTGCGGGGAGCTGACTGGGCAGACTTCTGTTGAACTTTCCCACTGAAAGAGGAAATGCTGCTCAGGGTGTTCCTTCAGAACTAAATTCACACAAGCTCAGAGTGAGATGAATGCGGAATGGGTGAGAGAATAAAAAAAAACAGCACAGCGCACAATCACAAAGACAACTTCTTAACACAGGACAGGACAAGGACAAGGACTACAGGCAGGGACACAACAAGCAGAAGGGGACAAACCAGTGTCAACTAAGTCTGACTGATGATCGCCTTCCGCTAGCTCTCCATCGCCTCTGATGTTCTGTAAAAAACTTAAACATACTGACGGCCGACACACACATGCATAGCGCGCCACTGTAAAAGGGAACGGCGCTCTATGGCAGGAGCTGGCAGTCTGTAAAAATCAAACTGCAACATATAAAGTAAAGAATATATTGTTTTAATGCCTTAAGCAGAATTCGGACAGGCTCAGTTTTACATGGAAAGGTGAGCAATGTAATTTTTCACAGCATTACTCAGTGATTTTAGTTCCTGTCCAAATGCACCATGTCAGTCTCCCACAGCAAGAAAGATCTGGGTGCCTTTTCCCTTCTCATGTAAAACGAATCCCAACCAAAAAGGGCTTTAAAAGCTTCAAACATTTGGGTTTAAGCTAAAACACCATTAGCAGCGCTAGCTCATCGCTCCAACACAAGGGCATCCCGGCTCGTTCAAAGCTCCATATACTGAGGAGCACATTGCACACTGTTTCGTTCAGATTGCTTCATCCTAGCAAGAGTTATTACAGAATATTCGGGGCCTCTTTCGAGTAAATCCCCCTGTACATTACATAGCCAAATTAACTATGCAGTTAATATGCACCATTATATGACAAACGGTAAAAAGTCCATGAAAAAAACTGAGCATTCCATTCCTTATTGTAAGTTAGCGTGTTATCAGAGCACCTGCAGAGCTCTCGTACGACACAGTAGCAGTCAACGTTGCCTCCGGTAGTGATAAAACTTAGGCTTTTTGCTGTGTGTGTCCTCTTGAGAGTGTCAATTACATGCTCAATTGGCTAAAATAGAGCTGACAAGAACCAACTACAGCCAACAGTATGGGGCACACTGTGCAAACTACAGGCAACGGTCAGTTACCAATGCTTACCAACGGCCTGACAGTCGATAGCCAAAGGATTTGGTTATTTCTGGAGTAGCACTGCATCATGCCGGAGCTTTCAAAAATCACAGTCTCTACCTTCAAAGCCATTTAAAAAAAAAGCCATGAAAAAATAAAGCAGTAACATCATTGGCTCATATCAAACAAAAGCATTACTTCACTCTTAAGGACTTAGGTGGCATATCATCTGCAAAGTCTGTGCATTAGCTCATCCATTTTAAACATGCAAACAAAAGAAACAGCAACTTCAACCAAGAACACAGCGCTAGCCACAGTAGGTGATGAAGTGTGCTATATGTTTTTAGGTGAGTCTACCAACATGTTTACATCTTCAGAGTTAATAGGGGTCGAAGATGAAATTACATTTTTATCTTAGGAACATAAAATGCATTAACTCAGCATTTTTAATGAGTTGAATCAAACATTTTGTAATGTTCACTTGAATTTTTTCTAGTTTTTAACAGTAGTTTATTTGGAATATTTAGCAGTGTTACTACAGACTGACAGCCTACATCATCTTGGGTTATTGATAGTAGCCAACCACTTTAAACTCTTTCAGCAGTGGGCTTTAATTACTGCACCTCCTTCAAATCCATAAGTAGGCAGAATGGGTAAAGTAGCAACACTGAACTAGTGAAAATTGATACCTTTGCAGAAAACATAGTTACAGAAGTAGCCTTGATAAACTAGTGACTCAGCAGCCCGCCTCACAAAGCTGGATTTCTTGCTTAGCCAGCACACTTTAAGCTTAGTTCATTTTTAAGCCTGTTTTTTCTGTCACACAACAGTGGATCACTTTTTACCAGGATACATCATCATGGCGTAAGCATAACTTACACTTCACGCCCAACCTGTTCACGGGCAGGTACAGTTCAGGATTTTAGATTGTAAACAGCTCTTGAACCAATCAGGGAGAGCTTGTGACCAATCAGCTATGGAGGTAGAACCTCTGGTACTTTTTTGGGTCCCATTTTTTTTCTTTGTGATGTTTATGGCAACAATCATTTGAAAAATAAAACAATCAAATCACACTAAATACATAACAGTATGTAATATTAGTAATATTAGTATGACTTGATCCTTTGGTAAAGGATCAAATCATATGAACTAGATATAAAGAATATAAAGCCATATCAATAAGCTCAAACACAGCGGCACTGAGAACAGCATTGCTTTCTTTATACCGTTACAATATTTACTTTGTATACATTTACATAGTATGATTTCCCTTCCTGGAAAAATAAGCCGCTCAACTCTTTGTCATGTTTTATATGGATGTTCTTCATTAACATCACGGTTCTATATGCATATGTATGAGGATTAACCACAAGTATGTAAACCTGGGTTAACAGAAAAAATCTCACATTGTATAATGAGTAAACTGACTGCATTTGATAGGTTTAATTAAGCTGTAACTCTGTCACTAAGTAAGTAAAAAATTATTTGTATAGCGCTTTTCTCAGACATAAGTCACAAAGCGCTTTACAAAAGCATCATACATCAGAAAAAGTACAAAGACACAAATAGATAAATAATAATAAAAATACACACTACACAATAAATACATAAATGCAGAGCCTTTTGTGCATACAAATTACCCAAACAGCTGTCTAAAAAGACACATCTTTAGCTGCCTTTTAAAAGAATCCACAGAATCAGCAGACCTTAAAAGGTAAGGGCAGAGCATTTCACAGTTTAGGTGCTATGGCCTCAAAAGTTCGATAACCACAGGTCTTCAAGCAGGTGCATTTAACAGACAGTAAATTTAGCTTATTTGACCTAAGAGAGTGAGCTGATGAGTGAGGGGGAAGTAGATCAGCCACATACACAAGAACCTGCCTAGTATGTAGTTTTGCAGCAGCATTCTGAATTGCCTGCCAACAGTCGTGGGCAGAAAGAGGATAAAAGTGCACTACCATAGTCAATATGAAATGAAATAAAGGCACGTATAAGCTCATCCAGCTCTGCATTTGAAACTACAGACCCCAGTTTACTAATATTTCATAAGGAGAAAACAAGATCAAGTTAGCTACTTAACGTGGGTGTTGAACGACAAGGACTGATCAAATCTAACCTAAGTTACGCAGGCTTGGCTGGGCGGCAGAAGAAAGAGGCCCAATACTTTGCTTGATCATGGGAGTAACCTTTTCTGGAGCAACAAGCAGAACCTCCATCTCATCAGTATTGAGCTGTTCCACCATATTTCTTCCAGATTCTCCACCAGTTTCTTGAAGCTGTATCTGGTCCCTGATATCATTTAGACAGTCTAAGAGCCTAGATAAACTTTGAGCCTCACTAGGTTTGAATGAAAAGCAGCGTTGGGTATCATCTGCAAATAAAGATGTGCCATGTTAAATCTGTCTATAATCTGTCCCACAAGCAGCAAATATAAAGAGAATAACAAGAGCCCCAGAAACAAGCCCTGCGGAACACCCCAGAACAGTGAAGAGGAATCAGACACAGTCTTCAATAGTGACTGTGAACTATCAGTGAGGCAAAACATCATTCAGTCTAAAACTGTGCCTAATATGCTCACCCAGTCACGTAACTTCTTAATCAGGATATGATGGTCCGCTGTGTCAAACGCAGAGCTGAGGTCGAGTAGTACTAGCACAGAACAGTCACCCGCATCAGAGGACATTAAAATATCATTTGAAACCCTCAGAAGAGCAGTTTCATTACAGTGCCATTTCCAAAACCCAGACTGAAACTGATTATAAATATCGTACCTCTCCAACACAGCAGTGAGGTGTCCAGCCACAACCTACTTTAAAATTTTCGACAAAAATGGAAGTTTAGATATACGCCTATAATTTTTGGGTACAGCAGGGTCTAAATTAGGTTTCATTACTAAAGTGAATAGCAGTATGCTTAAAATAGGCAGGGCCAATAATTAGCAATTAGATGGTACTACATCCAGAGGGCTAGAAAATAACTTCATCTTCCCAAATTAATCAATCAAATCTTGTTAGCTGATAGGCTAGAAGGTGTCCAGAAGAGTATAAGAAAGAGGAGGACTAGTATTGGACAGGCAAGTCCCAGGATGAATACAGGACCTAAAAGCTATCATCTTATCAACAAAGAAAGTAAGGAACTTATTACAATCACTGCAGAAAAACACGATACTGTAGAGAGGGGTGGGTGTAACACTGTCACTGTTGGTGTCCAATAAAATCATAGGTTTTCTTCTTGAATAAGAATGAGTGGCACCTGAGCAAATTGCTTGAAATGAAAAAATTTCAGTAATATTAAGAAATTCCCTAAAACCCTGTCTAAGCTGAATGTGCTTTGTGACAGATGCATCAGTACTAATACAACAACAACAACAACAACAACATAATAATAATAATAATAATAATAATAATAATAATTGCAGTATCTAGAATAATGTAATTGTTTTTTGAATGTTTGTCTAGTGGACTGGACAATTGTCCGTTCCCTTTAAAGAACAAAAGTGAGGGGTGATGAGTTGTGGCTACACACAGTGTGTGTGATGTTGTGAAGCGATGGGAGCCGATACATACCAGCAGCAGAGCCTCAAGCTGGTTAATGTAGATCTCTTCACTGGCCATAAATCCAGATAGCACCAATTTCTTCATCTCCAGACCCTTTTCTATGTCCCCCTGAGAGAGAGACGGGGAGATAGAGAGAAAAGAAGAGAGAGAGAGAGTCAGTATGTAACAATATATGAAAACACAATACATGGCAACACAAATATATCTATATACAATGCATTGTGGAGATGGGCTGTATCACCTGTATTTATTATTATCTATTAATTATGTCATCTGATGCAGTTGCAGTTTTTGATCACCAAAGGTCACAAAGGTCAGAGATAACTTGAACAGCAATTTACAGGGTTTTGAATACTTGTTGGTATTTTCAAAAAAGTCCTCAAAATCACCTTTAAAAATGATATATAATTAACCACAATTTTAGGTATGTTCATTACTGCAATTCAAAATATATCCAGTAGGCAGCAACAACATATTAATAGTCAGGCTGAAGCTTGCACACCTTATGTTGCTATAAAACTCTCAATCATATCCCTCTCATTCCATAGTTCCCCTCATTCTCGAGTTCCGTAGACGCTGATGGTGTAATTAATCCGAACTATTGTTTTATTCATGACTATCACGCTTTCACCTTTATTTCCTTTCATCTAGCTGCTTTTTGTTTTTCATCAAGTCATTGTATTTGGCTAGGTTGCCTTTTTTATCATGGAAAGCAGCATGACGGCGACATGTAAACAGAATCCCAGTCCCAGGCCTAGCAACCACATACTATGCACATTTCTGTGCTTTGTCTCATCCAGCAAACTTGATTCAATTCAGTAATGAATTAACAAGACCCTGGTCATCTGGGTCAAGTGTGTAGAGTAAACCCAAAAATGTGCAGAGCATCAGGTTCCCTGGACTGGGAATTGGCAACTACTGCACTACAGAGAGAGGAGAGGAGGACTGGGGAGCTTTTGGAGCTACAGCTGTGAGGATGATCACCCTAGCTGGCCGGCCTGACTAGAGTGAACCCCCATGTCAGATTCCTCCAGCTGGCAGCAGCCATAACAGCAGCAGCACCGGTGATTTCCTTCTTAGCCACTGCCAGAACTCACCAAAACAATCAAGTTTGAGGTTCTGAGCGCCTTGGTTTTAGAACCTCTCTTACTAAAGACTGCTGGTAAGTATCATTATATTTACATATTTTAAGGAATTCATCAAACTTGTCACTCCTACATGGCATACCACCCCCTTTTCACAAATTATGCACTGAGCATTTTCCTTAATTTAAAGTGCTCCCACCATGATGAGTTCTCCAGCATCTTTGCTGTATTATCTTCAGTGGCCACTGAGAGCGCAGTTTGTTGCACTCTGAGGTAGATGTGTGGTATAAATTAATGACGCAGTCAACTAAACCACCTACAATTTATTTATGCTTAGCATTTTCCATATACTGATGATAACTAACTTCTTTTTAAGGCTCTTGCTAATGAAATGTGTTGTAGATAGAGAATCGATTTCCAATGTAATGAAAGTATTTAAACCATCTCTAGTTCAGCATCATATAACACATTCCATGATACAACTTGATTCTCACAATGGTGAGCTCAGTATTGTTAATCAAATCAAATTGTGAGCTCATTTTAAGAATCAGGCATTTGTGTCACAGGCAACACTGTGAGTCCATGGGGCCTCAGAACAATGAAAAAGAAGCGCAGTACAATATAGCATTAGTCTCAGTGCAGATCAAAACACTGTTAGAGAAATCCAGAGAAAATCTGCACGTCTTGATTACTTCACTGGTTTAACCGAGTATGGAAAGAGGTGGAACAGGAAGTCTGCGTGAAGAACAATATAGCAGAGACATGCCAGGGCATCCTTGCCAACAAAAGTGAGTGTGTGTGCCTTCATGTGTAAAAAGACGCCACGTCCAGTGTGATAAGATGCCGGGCAGACTAGCTGAATGTTGCTCTAGTCTGCCAAAGTATACCTCGTCTCTACTTTGTTTGCTTTGGCCTGAATTGAAGTAACCTCACCATGGTCTAGAAACACCTTGCTGTTTCCACAGTGCCTGGCACTGGTGGGTATTTCAAACAGAAGCTCAAAAGAGCTTTTGTAGTTTTGTAGATAAACCTTAGGAGAACTCTAAAAACCATGTTCCTCAGACAAATGAGAGAGAGATTGGTGAGACACTGTGACAAATGACATTTCCAGACATTTCATATTCAAACTTTCTTCATTTATTTTCAAGGACACAAAGCAATTACATGACATCATCAAACACACTCTTAGATCAGCTACTGCAAACATATCACACACTCACTTTGTTAAAGTACCAGTGAAAACAAAAGCTATGAGTCTCCAAAAAATCCATAAATCCCAACATGTCTGGCTGTTCCTCCCACAGTGGAAAGCCAGCTCTGAAGTAGATTACAGCACATAAAAGAACAAACAACCACTGTGTTTACAGAGAGGAAACGTACCACCCCGATGACTAACAGCTAGTAAACCAGACAGCTGCCAAATATAGTCTCCAATTTCCTGACCACGCATTCACCCTAAGCTATGCTTGGGTCATGAAAGACCTTCTCACTAACACCTGAAGGTCACATTTACCTTTAATAACTTGTGGTATATAGGTGGAGCTGTTGTGGCTGGAGTATGAGGAAAGAGCAGACGATGGTGTTTCACTGCAGTAGCACATTTTGAAGACGAAAGTGTTTTGCTGAAAAGCTCGAGAGACTACAGTCCAGAGCACATCAGCTCAACAAACACCCATAAACACCAGCACTGTATAAAGTTGGTGTCAGTTTTAGAAAGGGGGAAACATTCTAAAGCATTGTGAATGGGCAAGACATTCTAGAACAGTTTGTATGGAGTGAAAGTTCTAGCACAACAATCATTCTAGTACTAATCTAGAACAGGGTCAATATGGAGAACTTTCAAAAACAGTGTGAATGGGGGAACACATTCCAGAGCAGTTTGAATGGCAGAGAACATTTTGAGAAATGTGTGCAGGGGGAGTGAGTGGTGAATGTTCTAGAGCAGTACAAATAGAAAAGAAAATATTAGAACAGTGTGAATGGAGTGAAGCCTCTAAAACAGACTGAATGGGGTAAAAGTTCTAGAACAGTGCAAATGAGGGACAAAATTCCAGGATAATATGACTGGAGGAGCATTTTCCAGAACCATGCATAATGGATAAACATCCTAGAACAGAACACAACAACCATTCTAGAACAGCAAGAATGGTGAGGACATTCTGCAAGTATCAATAGACGAGAACACTCTAGAACAGCAAGAATAGGGAAGAACATTATAGGCCAAAGTGTGGCCCACAGGCCAAAGTTGGCCCACGAGGACGTTTGATTTGTCCCTATGAAGTTACTCTAACCTCACCTCCTCACCCAAAAAGAGAACAAACATATTTTATACTGAATATAACTTCTAAATTCTTATTTTACTTTTAAATTTTAATTTTTATGTGTGTGAAGGGTTTTATTAATAGAATACAATGTAGTGTAATACACTACACTTTAAAACCATTCACTATATCCAAAAAAAAGATCTGAAACCTACATATACATGCCTGTTTATACTGTTTCTTCTTTTTGGCCCTCTGCCCACCACAAACACTGCACTTTGCCACCACCCAAGACAATAAGTTTGGACACTCCTGTAATAGAACCTCACAGCGAAGACAGGTAAGGCACACCAACCATTTTGCTCGTGTTTGTTGGGTCAAAGTACTCTGGCCTTAAGAGGCTAAGAGGAAGTGTGTGGCCATCGGTCTCTGCTGGATTCTGGTGAGCAGTTAACAGCCCTTCGCTGCTCCACCCACAGTCTGACAACCAGTTCCTGGCACTGGGGCACTTTTGGACTGATTTACAAAGGAAGACAAGGCTGTTTGTATTGATAAGCCTGATGGCAAGAGCCTTAATGTCAGATAGTGATCTCACTGATAAAAATGACATTCAGTACATCAGCTTCATGCCAGAAACAATCACAGTTTGAGTTTTTTTTCAATATTGCAGAACGAGAAGAAAAACAAGTGCACACACACATAAGCACAAGCACATCCTAGCAGAAAGCTGCTACCATTATGTAAATCCTGACCTTTGTGGCTGGCTCTGTTTGTAAGTGCAGCTGAGCATTGTTTACTTCTTAGAAGCTGACAGGTATCCATCTCAGCCACAGTGCCAAGTTTAATCACAACAATCAGGTTCATTACAATCAGCATCTATTGTTTCAGCCAGCACAGTGGTACAATTAGCATGGGGTAGACTTTTTTCTGAGTTCAGTTTTATAATAAGGCTAGATTGATAGTCAACAAGTACATGAATAGTACATATCCTAATCATGCTCACAGAATCTGATTGATATTAAATGATTTTTTGTGACATAATAATGATGATAATAAAAATAATCAATTATAGGCTATTAAATACCATATCAATGAATGCTAAAAAACCTTCAGTCTACTAAATGAGGACAAGGCGGGGGTTGTGTCTATTGTAAAAGAGTTTATCAAATGCAGCTATACTGCAATCTTCAACTACCCAACAGTAAACTTTTTCCAGTTACACTGATATATCCTATTACACTGATGATTCTTCCCTGTACATGCACATACCATATATTACTGGCCTAACACAAACCAGTGTGTGCTTAAGGACTTTTTCACTGCTGCTATATTATGCAGCAGCTGCCACATGTAGCACAGATGGCTGATAAAGTTGCTGTAAATGAGTGTGAACAGCAGCTAAAGTAAACTGAATGGTGCCGCCTCTGAGAAATCGGTCATTATTGGCTCAGGCTAGCACCATCACACCCAGAGCTCATGCTGATAAGATCCTGAGACAGCAGGAGTGGCATGATGATCTCAGCATGTGACCTCGGAAAATAAGGCTAACATGCAGGTCAGGCTGCAGACTGCCACACTTGGGCCACCATGAAAAGCAGAGGGACAGCAATAGCAAAACAAGAGCATTGAACAGGAAGGTATTCACACAGATTAATAATTAGACTGAAGTCTCGAGAAAAGAAGGTCTAGCACATTGAAGAGGAAGTGAAGAAGACACAGAGGGGAGATGATGAGGAAATACCCTGACGCTTCAGCTACGCAG